TTTGTTTGGCTGGACCAGAGTCGTGTTTCGTCTAGGGTTAATATTTCCTCGCTGCTGAGGCAAAACCTGTCGGAGTTTTGCACCTGATGACCTGTGTCTCAGGAGGGAGGGCAGATCCACAATCTGTTCCTCCATCTCGACAGAGCAAACTGTGGACTCGTTCACCTTTACTAAGTTTAAAAGAATTAATCAGAACTTAACCAGCTCTTGACAATACAGTCACGCCCCCTCATCCATGGGGGATCCATTCCAAGACGCCCGTGGATGCCTGAAACCATGGACAGCATTGAACCCTGTATATACTACGTTTTTTCCTACACATACATGTGTATGATAAAGTTTAATTTATAAATTAGGCACAGGGAGAGATTAACAACGGTAACTGATGATAAAATGGAGCAGTTATAACAACACAGTGCAGTAAAAGCTGCGTGAATGTGGTCTCTCTCTCTAAACGTCTGACTGCACTGCACTCGCCCTTCTTGCGATGACGTGAGATGACACAGCACCTACGTGATGGGACGAAGTGAGGCGAGTGACGTGGGCAATTTAAAACTTGTGAATTGTTTATTTCTGGAATTTTCCATTTAGTATTTTTGGACCATTGTTGACCACGGGTAACTGAAACCGTGGAAATCGAAACTGCAGATCAGGGGGCCTCGTATGGCTCGTCAGCACTGGGTTTTCCGCTGTCGTCCTCAGCAGACCCCCAGTCCCCGTGCAGTGATGCGGGCTTTGGAGCTCGGTTCTGGGCTGGAATATGGGCAGAAAGCATGTTATTTGGCTTCATTTTGATGAGGGAACATACTCACCAAGTGATTCAAATACTTTGAAATTTATTGAGATTTACTCTGTACCCAAGCATTTGGTCCAGTCTGTCAACTGCTTCATGCCCACCTGAAATGGCAATTAAGTCAATTTGGTAAATGGGGTCGTTCCAATTTTCTACATAATTTCTTTTCTTTCCCCAGTGGTTCTATTGATCACTGAGAGAACTGTGTTAAAATCTCCAAGTGTGATGGCTGGTTTGTTTATTTCTCCCTTTAACCCTGTGCGTGTTGGCTCACTGTCTTAATGCTATGGGGTCAGGTACATACCCCTTCGGGATTCTGTCTTCCCGTTGAGCAGAACCCTCCGCCATGTTTGTCTCTGGCACGGGCCGCGCGCCTGTCTCAAAGGTCCCGCTGTGTGGTGTTAATCGGCCACAGCAAGGCTCTCATGGCTGTTTGCCGATTGCGTCTATACCCCACTCTTCCACTTTCCATGTGGGTTCAACCAGCACAGAGTGAGGTGCTGAATTTTCGTTGGTCTAGTGACTGCCATCTAAGAGTCCTCATCTACACTGACTGTCACTGCTCATGTGGGGGATTCAAGTTCACCCTTTGCTGGTGGTTTTCCGTTTCCGTGACCTGTCCTTTGCTCTTTTTCTCTTATTTTCCTGCTTAGTTTGGATAAAAGCAATATTTGAAAAATATCCCATTTTATTTCTACTATTGGATTATTATTCGCACCTCTCTGTTTTTTGTTATTTTGTTGTGTTTTCTTTGGGGCATCTACAATATACATTTTTAACATCCCAGTCCACCTTCAAATGATATGAACCCTTTCTGCAGCCCCAGATTTCCACTCGGCATTCTATTATTTTGGCTGAAGACTTTTCAACATTGTTGGCAATAATGTTCTGCTGGCAACAAACTAGCTCAGATTTCTCTTATTGAAAAACGTCTTTATTTTGCCTTGACTTTTGATGATGTTGCTTTTAGCGCAGAATTCTAGGTTGACGGTTTTAGTCTTCAATCCCTTTGAAGATGCCACCAGGGTCTTCAGAAACCGGCTCTCATTCTTATCTTTGTTCCTCAATGATGTTTTCTTTTCCTCTGGCTGCTATTAAGACTTTCTCTTTATCAGTGGCTTTCAGAATTTTGTGATGTGCCTTGCTGTATTTTTGTTGTTTCTTCTGCGTGTGGCATGTTGAGCTTCTTGGACGTCTGAGTTTATAGATTTGGAAAAGTTCTGGCCATTATTTTGTCAAATAATTTTTCTATCCTGATCTCCCCTTTTCTGGGACTCTAATCTCTATGACAGAGCACTTGATACGTCTTCTTTCTGTCAGTTTTCTTTCCCGTCTGTGCTTCACTGGGACCACACGCTGCTGCACATTCAGGCTCACTGACATTTTCTCCGCAGCGTCTAGTCTCCCGTAACCCCATCCAGGTACGACCCACGTCGACCTGCCTCTTTCCCTCTTTCCTTAATGGACTCCTGCCCAAAGTGGCCCTGGAGGGAGCGAGAGGAAGCACAGGTCAACGACACAGCCCTGATGCCCCAGGAACACGCCAGGCTGGTGTGGGGACCACTGGACTCCCCCTGTCAGAAGCAGGTCCAGTACTTTCCCTGATGTGGCTCTATTCCCCAGGCGTCAGGTTGATTACACTGGCCTCACCGTTGAGGGGAAATATCCGTCCTCGTGTTAACACACTTATCCCAGAGAGGGATGTGTCTTCTCTGCCCTCGGTGTTTCTGCCAGCACCATCTGCGGACGTAACACACGGCTTCCTCAGCATCGCCCATCTCGTATTCCACCTTGAAAGGATTTGTTTTACCACAAAGGAAGCTGCACGACAGGATGCTCCTGACCCCCTGCTGAGGCCCCCACCCAGAAGCAGCGGGCCTGGCGGATGAGGAATGACTTCTGCAGCTCCAGGGAGGCTGCCCGTGGGGGGTGGCAGCCTGTGGGGTCCTGATGGGTGTGATGTCCATCACGTAGAGGATGTTCACCGATCTATGGACCAGGGCGGTGCTGTGTCACAGCAGAACGCACGTCTGTGACTGCAGGGTGGCAGTGGGACGGCTTCTCTCTCACACCCAGGAATTACTTGGGCTTGCGTTACTGTTCAAAACGTCCCTTGTCCCTCCTTACAGTGTCTTGTCTCCAGGACATACGTCCTTGCCTCTTGAACTCAGTTGTGGCCACGGGATCCCTCTGGACTGACACGTGTTACTTCTGCGTGGAGGATTCAACATCCGTGTCTGGTCTGTCACCTCTCTGCTCCCTGTGTCCTTCCCAGGAGAGGGCTGCACTCTCAGATAGGGACCCAGAAGATAATGCCCGGCAGACCTGCAGCGACCCGCCCTAGGAGGGGGGTGAGGAGCAATCTACCTGCTGCCCCCAAGCCTCGGCGGCTCGCCTTGTTACTGCAGCACAGATCAGCCCTGCTGGCTGCTTTTCTTCTCTGCAACTTTGGGCTCTTGCCTTAAAGGTCACAGTTCCCAAGGATGGGACACTGCTCCCTGGGGACACAGTTGAGCCATTGCACTGAAAGTTCAGACGGTCACCAGCTATTTGGGGAGATCCTGGCACTGAACCCACAGGGCAAGGAGAGCGTTCCTGATGCTGCCAACAGATGGGGCAGGGGCTGGTGTGTCTGAACCCCACGGGTCCTCTGGGCTCCTTCACACTGACACTGGGAGTGGTAAAGACAAGCCGACAAAGGCTCCAAGGCTGCGGAGTAGAAACCTGGACCCTCTCATGAGGCAAAGAGCCCTGAGCCTCCGAGGTGGAGGCTGGAGCCCAGGGAGCAGGGAGTGGGGACCGGAAGGAGGAGGTCAGAAACACTGGCCACAACCCAGTAAGTAGCTACAGACTAGGGTGGTGCCGACTGCACGGATCGCCTTCCTGGCCTGGTGAGTTTGCTGCTCGTGTACATGTGTGTGCGAGCCTGTACGCCAGCTTGTTAACCCGTCACTCATCTTTCCCACTTCTTGGCGCCCCTGTTGTTCTGTAGATGGATGTCAGTGGTGGAGAGTGGTGAACTTTGTAACTCAGTTCTTATGTCACAGGTATCCAGGGGGGTGTGTGACTGTATTAGAAGAAGTACTATGAGCCGGGGACAGGGGTGAAGGTTCACGGGCTCCTTACCTTTTTGGGAGAAGGCAAAGCATCACGTTAGGAGGAAACATGTCCGTAACGTGAATTCGGGGAGAAGGGTGAGTATGGACACTGAATGGCGGAAGGGGTGGACGGCGGTCCGTTCCCCGAGCCGGGGCTGAGGCCGACACTCTCCTGCAGCGGCCTCGGCTGGGTCAGCAGATGGGGGTCGGGGTGGAGGCTGCAGGCAGGTGGGCAGGGCTGACCTGCTTCTGCTTCTGAGGGCATCCCCAGGGCACACGCTTAAGCAAAGCCTGCTCCCCTCTGGAACGGAGAACCGAGCACACACAGAGGCCACGGCAGGCCCCACGGCAAACCCCACAGCAGACCCTGCAGCGGCCGGCGCCCCCCTTACCACACGGCCGGGCCACCCAGTGCCGGGGGTTTCTGGGTGTGGAACATCTGATCCCGTCTCTGCTTCAACTCTTTTCTTCAAAAAACCCCAATTTAACCAATTTCAAAGGCAATGCCCATAGGTTGCACTAAAAAGGGCAAATGCCTAAAAGCACAGAGAAGTAAATAAAAGCCACAGTTGCGTGAACGACTGCGTCTGGTGCGCATCCGTCTCCCCTCCGACCACGTGGGGCCAGGATGCACCCTCTCCTGTGGCTCGTCTCTCCGACTCACCGCTGTAGACGTGCACGAGTGTTAGTCTATCCCTACAGCCTTGGCTCGGTAACCTTGATTTCCACTTGGAATACATCAGCTCTATTTCTTTCACTTTCATTTCTAGATCCTTTACTGATTTAATAGGAGGATGAATGAAGATCCATTTTCTCTGCATGACAAAGTGTGTCTAAATCGTGTGTTTAAATCAGAGAAACTACAGAAATCAACTCCCAGGGAGGCAGGCGGCCGCGCGAGTCAGAGTTCTGCAGGACGCCCGCCGCTGTCGATAGGACATCAAACAGTCCAGACCTTTCCTTGCTGTCAAAAAAGGGTCTTCTATAAAATTTCAACTGTTGTGTGTTGCAAACATGATAGAAAAGCACTAGAAAGCTCACCTGGACTGGTTCTGCTGCCTAGGACGTGTCTGTTGTTGTTTTTATAAGAAAAAACCACACACATAAAATGCATCCTCAAGTGTACGTTTTATTCATTCCATTGACATCCCGGCTCCCCGCCACGCACCCACCCTCGACCTCGTGCCCAGTGGGACCCTGCAGGGGGGCCGGCCGCAGCTGCCCGTCTGTCCTCATCTCACAGAAAGGGATTTAACTCAAACTACACACTCACAGCTCTGACGGCCCGCGGATGCCGCGCTGCTGAGGAAGGGGAAAGAATCAGGAGGGACAAACATCCATTCCCAGTCTGCTTCTCAGAGACTTTTTCCTGAAAATGCAGCAGCTTTTCATTCAAAAAGCTCTTCATCCGCAGACATGAAGGACGGAGGCCAGTCGGCTCCTTCCCCCGGAATATCTTAGTTTGTTCACCCCCTTCATTGGTCATTTGCAGGTTTTTCTCTTTCAAAAATGACTCTTTATGCATCTATGATTATAAAATCAGTTACTTCTAGCTACCAGGGCTGCACTGGATGCCTTTGTGTCCGAGGAGCCGAGGGCCCTGGAATCAACCCAGCACCCTGTCCCGCCTGGCAGGTGCATGCTGGGAGGAGGCGGAGGGACCGTGCCTGGAAGCCAACACCTCGTTTCTAAGGTCCAGGGGCAGAAGTGGGTGTCGTGCATCTCGGGGAGGCAGCAGACTTTTTCCCCGCACTTCTAGCCCTGGGGGTTGCTTTCTACTGAGACGCCCTAAATATAAAATCCAATTCGTCTTAGAAACTCAAAATAAGTCTTTTCCCCAAACAGACCTAGAGGCTGTTTCAGGAACAAACCAGAGTCTGTGGCAATGACTGTGCTTTAAAGACACGTGCCAGTGATGTCACGAGGCATGAATCAGGTGACGAGTGTCACCTTCCGCGTGCCTGGAGCACCTCAGGCTCAGAGAGGGGACCCGACCCCACGCTTGCAGACAGACGTCTCATGGAGTCGATGCCACCCCTGTCACCGTGGCACGAGGCTGTCACTGGACACCCTCAGTGTGCTCCTGTGCTCCCCACGCCGTTCCCTTCCACACGGCTCCTCTGTCTTCAGAGGCACGTCAGCCAGACGCACGGGGGCGGCCGCTGCGCCCGATCTTACCCGGGACCCGAGCAAAGGGGACAATGGGCTGCCTCCCACCAGGATCTGCCGTGCCAAGCCAAGCCACATCCACCACCAAGAAGCAGGCGGGCTGTCCGCACCCTGCCTCAGCCGCTCCCCAGCACCCCGCGTTGATCGAGTCCACGCACAGCGAAGCAGATCACGTGACACAGAAACCAACACCCAGCGGGTCACGTGTATAAACAGGGGCTTTAGGAGGACGGGCAGGGAGAGGGCGGCCGGCCGGCGCCGTGGGGCCCAGACGCCGGCGTGGACCCAGCTCAGGGGCTGCAGAGAAGGGAGTCGAAGCCCGGACAGCTTCTCTCAAAGTCAGGCCCATAAACAGATGTCCTCTGACCCTCAAACGAAAATGAAGTGTAGAAAAACAATCTCTTTTGTTTTTTAAAAAAATGCTGAATGTTTCCTGAAGTATCTAAATGAAGTTTATAAAATGCTTGTGAGCTCCCACAAATATAGAAACTTTAAAAACCAGGGGCGGCTCTGCACGCGGACGCCACGCAGTGGGTGATGGTTCTGTGCCGGAATCACACGCCCGGGACCCGTCTGCTGTGCACGCGGAGACGGAGGGCTGACCCAGGAGGACAGAGGGAGAACCGTGAGGGACACTGAGAACTGGGGGCCCAGGGAGAACAAGCCACACCGAGCCCCCTGCCCGCCTGCCTGCCCCGGAAGGGAGGGTGCGTGGAGCCGGCCGAGGCAGGCAGGGCAGGCCATGCGCGGGTCCCCTCCATGGCTCTGCAGCGGGGCCCTCCCACATGCCGGGCTCTTCACAAAGAAACAGGGTCAGAACCACGCCTGGGTCTCCCAGGACTCGGGCCTGAGGACGTGAACGCGGCGTCTGTGGGAGAGCAGAACCCAGGGCTGGCATGGCAGACGGGACTGGCGCCACGTGGTGGTGGGGTGGCACCGGCACTGGGGCAGGAGAGGCCTCGTCTCTCCAGAACCTTCCGTCCTAGTCCAGTTTCTTATGAAAAGGCTTCTCCCCAGCGTCCGAGCTTTTAGGGCTGAAGTCAACGCAGAAGCCGTTGGGGGCTGGAGCCGGCGGGGGCTGGGCGGGGCTGTCAGGGCGCGTCTGGCTGGGGTACAGGTACTCCTCTGCAAAGTTGGGGGATGTCTCTGCCAGCCTGTTGAAGTCAGCTGGAAAGACAAAGGCACCTTTGGTTACTGGGACATCGGGGGCCCCGTCTGGAATTCGTGGGCTCTTTCCCCGGACCGTGTGGGTGTCGCCTCACCCGCTCCAGGGGGACTGGACTCTGCGGATGCTGTTGGAGGGCAGGGGGCACCTGCACTTCAGCTCTGCTGTGCACGGAATCGCTGTGCAGACAGAGGAGCGGCTGCTGCGCACTTCAGCAATTCCCGCTTTGGGGAAATGGAAAGAAACAGCGGGATTTTGAACTCACGGGTCTGATCCGGGTACTCGGCACGTGAGGGGGGGAGGTGCCGTTCATCAAAGGAGCTGCTTTAGGGGCTGGATGAAGCACCCAGGCAGTGACCTGAGACTCTCTGAGACACTAGTGATGGACACGGCCATGCTCAGGGGAGACGAGGCACGCATGGGCGCCACCTCCGAGCTGGTTGTGGGGCCTGACTGGCTTTGTGCCTGTGCGTCCCCGGTGGCCTTGGGGTGGAGAGCGCTCAGGGCCCCAGAGCTTGGTGACACTCAGGGCCTGGGCACAGAGACTGTGGACTCCGGTGGCCGTGGGAGACACGCTGAGCTCCGCCAGGAGGAATCAGGAGGAGGTCTGCAGCGGGTTAGCCACAAGCCCAAGGCAGCAGGCGCACTGCTGGCTTCCGAGGCAGACACACGCGCACACAGCTGTTCCAACACACACACCCGTGTCTGACATTTGGGCGCAATTTTAAAAACACGTTCAAGCAAGACGTGAGCAGTGACCTTTCCTGAGCAAACGTCGGCTCTGTTTTTAGCGAGGACACGTGTTGGTTCTGAAATGTGCGTGCCTGCTGGTGGGCGAGGGGGCCGCCTCCTGGGGTCCCACTGCCCCAGCCCCTCCTCCTTTGCCCGAAGCCAGGGTTCAGGTCTGAGTCCCTGGGGATCTCGGCCACCTGCCTTGTGTGGCTACAGGTGAGGAAGCCAGAACATCCCTGGGAGAGGAGACCCCTGCAGAGGCCAGTCCTGATGGGGTCAGGTCTGCTCCTCCTCAAGGACCCTGATCGTGGACGCTTGTGGGCCACCCATTCCAGCCCGGCCTCGCACAGGCCGCCTGCAGCCCCAGGGACAGCATCTCTCATGGGGCCCTGAGCTCCACAGCCAGGCTTGGGATCCGCTTCTAGGAATTGTGCAGAAATGAGACCTGAGGCTCCCACTCACCCCCGCCAGGCTCCGGGAGGAACCCTCCTCCCCAGAACGTCTGTCTGTGCCCCACGAGGGCAGGGCGGCCTGGTGAGCCCTGTGGGCAGGGACTCCACTTGTGGCTGCTGCTCATCTCCTGGGGACACCTCCCTGCACAGCTGGGCCCACTTACCAAACGTGATCTTCTCCTTCTCCTCCTGGTCGATCGCCCGGAAAAGGTCGGTCACGGTCAGCTCGGCCACCCCTAAGGCGGTCTTGAGGATGCTGGACAGGGCGTCTTCGTCTATGCTGCCGTCCTCCTCAGACCCGTACATCTGCAAACCAGAGGCCCACGTCACCCTGCAGCCAGCCCTCTGTCCTCGCCCCCGCCAGCCCCCACGCCCAGGGTGGCCGGCTCCTCCTTGGCGACCCCGGCTCTCCAGCAGGCCCTGATCCCACTGCTCAGAGCTGCCGCCACTGGCGCCAAACCATCCTTAGGGGGAGCTCACGGGTCATGGAAGCTCTAAAGCCTGCTCTTCTCTTTCAAATTCACCAGGAAAGAGGGGCACACACATCGTTCTGTCAGTGCCTGACTCAAAGCCTCTGACTGCCCAGGCGTCCACCTGGAATGGACACGCCACCCGCCGTACAACACGGCCACTAGCAAGACCCCCGGATAAAGGACCAGGCAGCCCACCCACAAAGCCCCCTCAGAAAGGCCTGAGTGGCCCCCTCTCCCTTCCTGCGCCCCCATTCCCACTCTTACATTTTAAATTCACCAACAAAGTGAGCTCATGAAACCCCGGGCCCCCGCCCTTGACCCAACAAAGGCAGAACCCCATGCGCCGTCTCTCCCGCGACCTCGCTGTGTGGCCCAGGAGTCCGTGTCCCCCCAGGACTGCGAGTGACAAACCTCATCTTGTCAAATCTCCCTGGCGTCCTGCAGAGGACGACCCACAGGGGCCGGTCCAGCCACAGCGCGGCTGCCCACAGGCGAGGCGGGCACACAACCCCTTACAGCCTGCGGCCTCGTGGATGTGCAGACGGGGCTGCAGGAGAGCGGGGGGCCCCTGAGCTCCAGCCGGCCCATCTGTGGGCTCCCCCCAACTCCGCAGCTCCTGCTTCACGCAGACTCTGTGACCCGGATCCCAGACCTGCCCCCGACCCCAAAACTGTTCCCAATGTTCACCCTGCCTCCACCCGGAGGGGCTCCATGTGGGACGCTCACCTGCCCGCTCAGGGCCGCTGCCTGCCCTGGCCTCACCCGGCACACGTGGGTGCTCACGGGCCTTTGTCAGTGGGACGAATGCGCTGCCACCTTGCTTGACCTTCGGGAGGCGGTGACCCACCGGACCACATCCTCTCTCTGATGGCCTCTGTTTGGTTTCCCGTGTTGGGGGGCTGCCTGGGCCATTCCCTCCAGGTGTCTGTCCCCCCGCCCTCCCTCCCCCGCATGCCTGGCTGCAGCCAGCGCCCGTCGTCGCCGACACTTCTGAGTCTCCTCTTGGCCTCGTCTCCGTCCTACCTCCAGACTCGCTGACTCCAGCATCTGCAGACTAATCCCCTTGGCGCCGGGGAAGCCTCACAGTCAGGCTGAGCCAAACCCCAGCCGGCCTCCCCACCTCCCGCTCATGCCCGCGGGCACCTCCCACCCGGCAGCCGACAGGTGTGAGCACCTGGCTTCAGAGTCGGAAGCCGTGACACTGACAACGGACAGGACCATGTGTTTCTACATTCAGAAAACTATTTCCAAGGCTGCGTGAGAACCTGCCTGGAGGCCGGGCTCACGACGGGGCGGGCGGAGACCTGCGAGTCCGTTCTCCCCGTCGGAGCCGCCAAGAGTTGTGCCACGACCACACCTTGAGGTTTGATGGAATCGTAACAATGGTAAAGAAAGCAGAAACAAGGGACTCGAGAGGACCAGCACGGACGTGCGCGAGCGCCCTCAGGGGGTGCAGTGGCCTGTGCGTGTCCTCGTGTGTCTGTGCCAGACCACCAGCCAGGACGAGGTCCGGCTGCGGACAAGGAAGCGTGGCATATCTGCCACCCACCGGGTCTGGGCTGCCTGCTGAGCGGCTGTGCCCTGGCCGTGCCCCGTGGGCTCGGGGAGGTGCCTCAGGGCTGTGGCAGGAACACCAGGGACGTGCCCTGCCAGGTGAGAGCGAGGCCAGTCACCTGGAGACCTCAAACCTGAGGTTGGGACGTCGGCTCGAGGCAGCACACGCGGCACTGGGGGTGCAGGGTGCCGGCCGCCCACTTCACCAGGGCACCTGTGGAGAGATGGTGTGGTCCCTGCAGGCCGCAGAGCTGTAACCCCTGCGTGCGCCCCCGAGAGGGAGGGCTGCCCGAGACGAGTGGGCCACGTGCCCTATATCCAGCAGGCGCTACGGCAAGGTGGGCACAGGTGGGGGCCAACCTCCCTCTGGCGGCCCCTCCTCCTGCACCCATTATGTCTGCCCCTTGGGTGAGAGTCTCGGCAGGGCCATCAGAGCACGTCCTGCTCCGGGCTCGGCTGTTCACGCTGAGAAGCAAGCCGAGCGCCTCCCCCCTGGTCGTTCTGTCCCAGCTTGGACAGCGTGTCCTCAGAGAAGCTGCCTGTGGGGGCCCACAGGAACAGCGTGTGGGGAAGGAGCCCACGATACGGCCTGCCCAGGCCTGGAGGAAGGGGCCAGGCTTTCCTAGACAGGGGGGTCAGGTATCACCATCACCTGTGAATCCCCCAGCATGACCACAGACGCCACCCTGCACTGGGAGGATTCCCTGGTGTTGCTGTGGAGAGGGTCTGCTGGGGTCAGAAGCAAGAAGGGGGTTCTCCAAGCAGTCAGACTAGTGGCCTCCTGACTTCTACATCAGGTTCTCATGAGTCTGGCTAATGTGAGTTGCACCTGTGAGACACACCCTCTCTGAGACTCTGACAAAATCATCTCTAGGTGGGCAAAGCCTGTCCAGCTCCATCCTCAGTGACAGTGTCCTGGTGAGGCCAGCCCTGAGTACAGCCGGGTGAATCTGCAGGTGGGCTGGGACCCCATCATGGGCCTTACCCAGACTCTCTGCACCCGTGGTGGACGGCCCAGCTTTGGGCAACGCTGTAAGCCTGGCTGTCCCAGGTCAGGAGGCTGATGCGGAGGCCATGCTGGGAGCGCCGATAAGCACGGGGTCGGCAGCCCTGCTCAGGCGGCCCAGGACAGAGCCAGACCCTACCCCATGCCGTTCTTACGATAGGAACCAAAGTGAAAGTACCGTGAGGCAGAGGGAGTTTACCGGCACGACAAGGGAGACTGATCCTGGCAGAGGTCTGATGGCAGCCGGGTCGTGCTATCCCACAAGTCAACCTACGCCCGCTCTACACTTGCCTTGAACGCCAGCTGCATGGTGTCCAGGGTCTGGGATGGCCGGCAGACGACAGACAAGGCGACCACGTACTCCCGCAGGTCCATCTCGCCACCTCCGCTCTGCCGAAGAGAACAGAGACATCTCAGGGGACAGCCCAGCCCCGAGAGTGGAGCACGGGGTTCCACTCCGCCGGGAGCTGCAGCTGAGCTCCGCCCGGACTCGATACGGCCCGCCGACGTGAAGAGCACTCTGGAAGAACACTGACAAGCCACGGGTTTCTCCAAGGTAACTGCACCACGTGCGCCTCTGAGATTGTTATAATTAACCTCCATGGGGATGACCTGCCCCGGAGGTTTCTCGAGAAAGTGCAGGTGAGGTCACAGCCACCACCGGCCAAGGCTTTGCTAAGACAGAGCAGCAAACTGCAATGCTCCTATCAGGGCTCCAGGAACCTCGCCTGCTAGCAGTCAACAACCAGCAAGCAGAGTAAGGTGAGTCCAGGCTGTGCGTGCAGAACCCCCAGCACCAGGCTAGCTGCAGACCCAGCGTGCACCATGTGAGGGTTCTCAGTGGGGCAGGTGGTCAGCCTGGGACAGGCAGTGGCTCTGAATAAGCAGGCAGCTGTACTGACAGGGGCGAGCCAGTGGGGTGGAGGGGGAGGGCGAGGTCACAGGGGCAGAGGGAGGACTCCTGGTAGAGGAGGTGAGGGGGACCTGGGGCGAGGGAGGACCCCTGGTCAGAGAGGAGGAGGTGGGGAGGACCTGGGGCGAGGGAGGACCCCTGGTCAGAGAGGAGGAGGTGGGGAGGACCTCGGCAGAGGCAGGACCCCTGGTCAGAGAGGAGGAGGTGGGGAGGACCTCGGCAGAGGGAGGACCCCTGGTCAGAGAGGAGGAGGTGGGGAGGACCTCGGCAGAGGCAGGACCCCTGGTCAGAGAGGAGGAGGTGGGGAGGACCTGGGGTGAGGGAGGACCCCTGGTCAGAGAGGAGGAGGTGGGGAGGACCTCGGCAGAGGGAGGACCCCTGGTCAGAGAGGAGGAGGTGGGGAGGACCTCGGCAGAGGGAGGACCCCTGGTCAGAGAGGAGGAGGTGGGGAGGACCTCGGCAGAGGGAGGACCCCTGGTCAGAGAGGAGGAGGTGGGGAGGACCTGGGGCGAGGGAGGACCCCTGGTCAGAGAGGAGGAGGTGGGGAGGACCTCGGCAGAGGCAGGACCCCTGGTCAGAGAGAAGATTCTGGTCAGTTGTCTAGCTCCGTGTCAACCACAGGCCACAGGTTATGGGGCTGGGGTGGGGGAGGCACCCAGTGTCTCCTGAGGGGAAATGCCAGCCTCCCCACAGCTGCCCCAGACCCCATGCTTGAGGTGTGGGCATGGGCAGTGGTCTCAGGCAGGAGCGCGGGTGCCACAGAGGGCGTGTCCCATGAGGCCCCAGGCCTGCCCGTTCTGCTCTGGGGTCAGAGGTCCTCCGTGAAGCAGAGAAGTTCCTCCCACAGAAAACCACTGTGCCCTCGAACCAGCAGAAAATGACAACCAGCCGCACATGGTGGTGAGGTGCCAGTGCTCAGCGAGGGTTCGCTCACAGCTCGTCACGCACAATGTCAGCGCCCGCGTGACTCACTCCATCCTCCCAGTTCTGGCACAGGCCAGACAGGCTGCTCCTCACTGCCACACCGAACACGCTATATTGTCCCACAGAACACGTTATGTTGTTACACAGAACACTCAGCGTTGTCACACGGAACACACTGTGTTGTTCACATGGAACACGCTATGCTGTCCACACGAAACACAGGATGTGGTGCACAGAGAACACACATGTTCGTGGCTGAGAGCGCCCTCAACAAGCCCTGCGGTGTGACCGGCACCTGCCGGCCCCCCGCACAGGCGTCCACGTTGCGACACAAACCCCCAGGAGGGAGCAGTGTCAGGGCTTTCTGGCCAACAGGGGCACCCGCCCTGCCCCGTGCTCTGCCTCCCACCCTCCCCGGGCCCCGTAAGGCCACCCTGCATTTCCAGGGCTGTGGTGACGTGAACGTGGACTCCTCGTGCAGCCAGACGTCTGACCTCATCACAGGGGTGGAGGGAAGAGGGGCCGGGTGCTACACCAGGGAGAAACCCCCCACACAGACAGAGGCCGCGGAGGGCCTCCAGGCTGATGGCTGAGCGAGGCCTGGCTGAGCGGGGTCGCGGAGGCCACTGTGGAAGGGGCCACGGGCCAGGCCAGCATCGCAGTGTGGGATCAGTGGGCCTTCGAGCAATTCGCTTTACAAACACCCCAAGCGCCAGGCACATTCATCAGCAAAGCTTAACCTCAATGTCGAGTTGTATGTGCACTTGAAGGCATGGGAGAAAATGCCCCGAGCGACGGGGCCGGGCGGGCCGGGCAGTGAGGGCCACTCTACTTCTCCACCTACGTTCTAGTGAAAACCACGTAACCCTGGACAAGTCGCAGGTTTCCCCCCAGTGCCCTCGGGGGCGACAGCCCTACCTCGTCAAACAGGGAGAACAAGTCTTCCACTGCGGCCGAGGCCGGGACCTGCAGGAAGGCCGCGAACTCCGCCAGACGGATCTTCTCTCCTCGCCTTGTCTTCGCACTTTCTGCGTATCTATCCAGATCCTGCTCGAGTTTTTCTGGTTTTAGGCTAAACAAAAAAAGAGGAACGGTTCTTCCACACGATGACGGGATGCGAACAACAGGAGGGTGTTCCTGTCTGAAGACCCAACGAAATACTAAACTCGCTCATCGAACAAGCAGCCAGTTCACTGTCAGGAAGAGGTGCTCTCATTCTTGGGACGTGCACGGTGTGTTTGTCTAAGTATCTTTGCCACCATTTACGCCCCTGCACGTGTGGAACCCCACCCTCGAGCAGGTCAGTCTGAGGGCCGGGGGGTCCTCCCGGGGCATCCAGAGAGACAGGTGGCGCCAAGCATGAGGCTTCTAGGATAGCTCCGTGTGGACTGACGCTGGCATTTGGAAACCCCAGCACGCTGAGGATGAGCACTGTGACCCTCTGCAGGCGGCCCTCGGCGCCCGCCACCTCCAGCCCACTCGCCAACAGGTGCAGGGCGGACACCCGAGAGGGCCAGAGCTCCTCCATCTGCAAGATGCGTCTCAGCTGCGCACCTCAGGACTCCCCATGTTGTCAACAAACCGCGCTTCGGTGTCTGTCACCTTTGTCACTGGCACCCACAGCCTCACACCCGTCACAAGGCTCGTGAGTAAGAAAAACCAGAGAACTCACCCCAGGCCCCTCACCAGCCTGGCGAATTCCAGAAGGCAGGTATCGGCGGGGAGACGAAGCTGTCCTTCCGCCAGGGCCAGCTGGCAGTCCTCATATGTGTAGTCGGTTACGGGGACGCCCAGGGCCCTGCAAGAGAGGGAGGAGGGCGCACGCCATCAGCCCAGTCCCTCGGGATGACAGAGGACCACTGGGGTGCAGCAGGAGCCGGCGAAGGCCGTTGAACAACACAGGCCCTTCCCGGGGGTCTCGCCAGAGTCAGCGACGATGGCAGAAATCTGTGCTCCTGCAAGTCCAGCGTCCTGCTCTGGGAGCCCAGTGGGGTGCGCACCACGTGGCCATCTGTCCACGAGAACACGTGTGTTAAAGGGATCCCTCCCGCGTGGGGTCTGAGACATCCTCTGTCTCAGGTAAATGACGCTGTCCTGAGGTGTCAGTGTTTAGTTTTGGAGCCCCTGTAAAACTGACTTCAGCTAAATATTAAAAGGAGAAACTGATCTGAGCACAGGTGGTGTCAAAGGTGGAAGTGAAAGTCAGGGAAAGAAGTTGTTTCTGGAGAAACGGCGTCACTCCGCTGACGTGTGCTGGGCGGCTGGAGAAGTGAGCGGCTCGCCACGGAAGCCCCCGGTGCGGCCATAGTGCTCGGCCAGAGAAAGAGCCCGGGGAAGCAGAACAGGCCAGTGGCAGCAGAATGAAGCCAATGTCTAAAACCTTTAAAAACTGGACTAAAACATCCAAATACGTGAAGAGACCTGAGGAACAGGTGAAGCCTTCCAGACTCCAGATCTCAGGGCTCATCATGCAGCCGAGAGTCACCCCTTCAGACTCCTGTCCTCATAGCAAAGGGGTTTCCAGTGTTTCGAGAGAACATGCCGGGCGAGGGAAAAGTGCCCGGGACAACGGGAGGAACAGGCCGAGGACAGCAGGGTGAACCCACCTTCAATGCCCGCTGGGTTAAAGGCTCACAGCCTCTCCCCCTCCTAACTGGAGGAGGGCAGGCATGGTTCCCTGAGCTGCGCCCACCTGCCAGTGACAACAGGAAGTCTGCCCCTCAGGAATGGGCATCTGCGGGGCCTGCAGGACAGGACGGACTGGCCAGGAAATCTGGAGGCAGGAGGGGCGATGCGGCCCCGAAGCCCCAGCCCCAGCCGGGCGCTCCTCTACACAGCTGCGTCATATGCCATAAAAAATAGCCCCGTCCTGACTGTTACAGAACACACATTCATGGCAGGAGATTTGCCAAGGAGAGAAATGGAGCCCGCCCCCAGCCTCCGGAACTGCCTGGGCTGCCAGTCACTTCCACAGCAGCTCCCTGTTGCCACAGCAACACTGGGTGCAACCGGAACGAGGAAACAGGCACTTGCAGACGTCTTTCTTGGCTTTCAGAATCCCCCTCAGAAAACTTGGGGATAAACATGTGGGGAGAGAAGTCAGCAGTGCACCAGCAGCGTCTCAGACTGGTCCATGGAGAGGTGGGACAAGGCCAGCTCAGGGACTGCCTGCAAAGCTCCCGGGGGTCCTGGCCCCTCCCAGGCACTTAGGGGGACTAGGGGTCAGGGAGGTAACCGCCCACCTCCAGGCTTCCAGAATCCCACTGTGGCTGCTGAGGCAAGGGGGCGCCTAATGAACAGCTGCCCTTCTCCATCAAATATATGGTGCTCCTCCTCCACCAACGCGGGGAGTAGCTGACGTCACGACAGTCTCTTTAGGACACACATTTTTAAAAATTTTAATAGTTCATTTATTTGGGGCTGGCCTGGTGGCGTAGGGGTTAAGTTTGCGCAATCCAGTTCGCGGTCCGGGGTTCCTGGGTTCAGATCCAAGGCACGGACCTACATACCACTCATCAGCCATGCTGCGACAGCATCCCACGCACAAAATAGAGGAAGACTGGCACAGATGTGTGCCCAGGGACAATCTTCCTCACCAAAAAAAAAAAAAGTTAATTTATTTGAATGCATACTAAAAAAAATTACACCTAACCTGTGAAGCCTGCAATTCTGTGGATATTATTTCTTTATCAAGAACTGAGCACCCAGACCTCCCAAAGGTTGAGAGGATGAAGTGCATCCTGAGCACTGGCAGCTCCATACGGTCCCCAGGCGTGATTCCGAGAAGAGGGAGATGGAAGTCCAGAGGGTGGGTGCCCAAGAGGAGAGGGGAGTGTCCATGGACTGTTCCTAGTGCCTAACTTTCTGAGGAGCATGTGGACAGCCTAAACCGGGCTGAGTTTAGCTCACTAGTGTTGAGGTGAATGCATGATTTTGCTCAACATGGTCCCATAGAACCCAGTGAAGTGGGGTCATGACACGTGTCCAGACGGAGCTCATTTCAGGAGCCTCGGTCACACCAGGTCAGCAACAGCACCATCAGAACCCCTCTGCAGCCACGCAGACGCCCCCACAGGGACGCTCAATCCCAGAGCCGCTGAGCCCTGAGACCCCCTCCTGGCACCGCAGTGGCCAAACTCAGAGGCAGCCCCTGCAGCCTGTAAGCAGGAGAAGAGGGGAGAGGATGGGACCCGGAGGGAGGAAGGCGGGCAGAGGGGAGGGGTGCGGGCTGACACTACTGCTCGCTGAGGCAACCGGAATCGTGTGCAAGTGGGAAGCAAGACTGTTGCCAAGTGCACACGCTCACTGAATACGCAGCACAAGTCATACACCAGAGTGAGTGTGCAAATACCATACTTAACTCGGTAAGACGGAACAAGAACATTAACAAACACTATATGGGGAGAGGACAAAATCAAGCTCCAGGACACGCCAACCCAATCCCCTCGTCTGCCTGGGGCCGGCGCTCTTGCCCACAGCTCCACTGCCTGTCTCCATTGGGCGCACACGGACATGGCACTCAGGTGACTGATGACTATGGTCACGTCCGAACTTTGTAAAACTAAGTGGCAATGAAACACCTTCCCATTGTTGAGCAAGCAGAAATGTCACCTGACAGAGACAGGAGATGCAAAGCACAGGGCCAAGCACACAGCTGCTACTATGCAAGTCAACACTGGCTCATTCGCTTTTGCAAAAGCCCAGTTTCCTAACACTACTGGCTTCTTTTTATTGGCAGTGCCCTAAGGCGGAAAACAGGAGGCAAGCAAGAGTCCTGAGCAATACTTAGGGAAGTCCAGGTCCTAGGCATCCCAGCCACAGAGGAAGGAGGGTGCTCACTCACGCTGCCATGACGCGCCGCACGTTGCTGGCGTACAGCACAGGATCCTTCTTCTCCGCCTCTGAAGGGCTGTACACGGGGAGGAACTGAGCACAGAGAAGGATGCGTTACTTCCATGAGCATCACAAGACACCTACCTTACCCAGGCCACCACAGGTGACAACCCTGAGTCTGACAAAATTAAGATCTGTCGAAGCACTTTCTATTAGAATTGTCTTTGAAGTTGTCACAGGCACACGCACACACACAAAATGCATGCACTGCACCCACATGCATGCACACATGTGCACATACATGCACACATACACACACCTGTGTGAAAACTCACAACCCAGCATTCCTCACCCGCAGGGCCTGCTCCACCGAGACAGAAGGTGTTGCTTTCCTGTGCACTGTATTTCCAACTTCACACAGGGGCTTAATGTTTAGATGCAAAGAACTACCTGTGAGCTTCCATTTCTAAAGGTCTCAGCTTTGTGTTGTAGAAAGCACAACCAATTTTTTCTACTTGAAAGATAGACTTTTTAGCTTATTGACATCTACTGCATTTTGAGATTACAATATGGTGACCCATGAACACACATCTTTGCGTGGGCAATGCTTACACAGCGTTTTAAGTGACTAAGTCCCACACTTGGGTGCCAACCTCACTGTGCAGAGAAGACCATCACCCAGCCCTTTTTCTTTAAAATGGGTATTTGGGAATACAGGAACATCCTGAAACCCTATCAATTCTCATCGTATAATTCTAATCTGTCACTTACTGCTACATTTTTAAAAACTATGTTAATTGCAACCGTTTCTCACATTAGCTTTGGTATCTTGTAGGAGTAACATGAGTAAAGACATTTAGAGTGACTTCACAAAGCCATACGGTTTCTTCTCAACTCTTAGAGTTAGAAACCAGGTCTGAAATGGAGCCGTTCACACTGGGAGGCCTGGGCAGCACCGGCATGTCCTCTTGAGAGCCTCACTCCCCTGGGGCTTCCTGGCTACCTGCAGACGAGCCACGTGAAACATCCTAAGTGGTAGGCCTGCCACCCTCGGCCCAGGCCAGGGCTCTTTCAGCTCAGTTCTTTGTAATTAAGTGGCTTATATTCTACCGAAGTGAAAATCCTGGCTGAAAGCTGGGCTCATTTGTAAATTCAGTGTTACTCTGTAAAATTTATCAGAGGGTAGCTAATTGTTTCATTAAATAATTTAAGTTGCCCATGACTCATCTTTAATTTTCAGGTGCGGGAGTAGCACATTAATTCCCTTTTGAAGAAAATAAACTCTATTCTTCATCCACTCAGATAAAATTTACAGGCTGCACAAATGTGACTTGTATTTGATTTAGCTGAGAGGATGGGTGTTGGGACTTTAGAGACATAAATGGGCTGAAAACTGGGAGGCAGCCTACAGCTCTAACCAAGTATTAAACAGAGGATAACAGCATGACAAATTTAGCAGTATTAGAATCAGGTAAAAATAAAAGCCCAAAAACCAATTCATTGTATATGTGCCAATTCTATATGCCCTTAAGCTATGCTAATCATAATAAAAGAATGAGGGGTTTAGCTTCCTTGTTGACTTTAAAAAAAATCCTATCTGAATGGATTCAAAATCATGCAAGAGACACAAAGCCATTGATGCAAAAACCACCGGAAGCATCTCTAAGGAGCCCTGAGAAATGGAGAGTTCAAAGCAAGACAGACAACATATAACATTGTATCTGTACAGACATCAATGTGACCTTGTATACCATTGTACCTATTTAGACCCCCAACATAACATTGTATAACACTATGTCTGTACAAGCCTTAATATAACATTGTATCTATATAGAAAACGCAACATTGTGTCTGTACCTGCAACACTGTATAACATTGTATCTACACTGACAATATAACATTGTATTTATACAGATCCCAATATAACACTGCATAAAATGTCATCTACACAGATCTTAATACAACACTGTATAACATTGTATCTATGTAGACCCCAATGTAACTCTGTGACACTATATCTATACAAACCTCAATTTCCACTTGATTGTGAAACTGACACAGCGTGAGCCACAGGATTTTCAACCTTAAAAACCAACAGATTTACAGCATTGGTTAAAAGATTCTCAATTCCTTTTAGTTAAATCACTTCCACTTCTGGAGCCAAGTCTCCAGACCCCTTTCCTTGCACAGGGCACCAGCAGGCAGTTAATTCTCCTTCAGGAGCAGACACTTAGCCTTCCTCAGCCTAAATCCGAACCTTAAAACACAGTGATGACTGACAAGGCTAATTTTATTAAATAGTAGTCTTCACTGTTCTCATTAAAGACACCCACGCCTGTAGCTTTGGTCTGCCCTGCAAGCTACCATTTCCCAAGTCTGTCCTCCAGCTCAGGAAACCTCATTTACCTGACACCTGTCCCCACCCTGGCTGTCCCCTGGGAGCACTCACTGGACAGGCCCTAAGTTATACCATCCCCAAGCCTGGCTCCTGGAGTTCCTCACCTCAGAACCAGCATTGCCATCCTTCTATTTGCAGGAGTCGGAAACGGGGAGCCATTTGGGTCCCCTGTTCTTGGGCCCTCACTCACTCCCCCAGATGGATAGTCTCCCTCTTAATTCTCTTTGTATGCACCCATTTGTTTCTGCCTCATCACTGCCAGCTCCAAGCTCAGGCCACAGGACCCTGAAGGAGCCCTTCCTGGGCCTCCTCCCAGCTTCCACCTCACTTCTTGCCATCCACCCTCTGCACTCCAGCCTTGGGAATATTATCGCCTCTCCTCAGATGTGCTGCCCCTCATGGCACCTCCCCAGAGCCCTGTTCCAAGCCCCCTGGCAAGGCCTGGGGGTGCTGGGGGGGCTCTGCCTGGCCTCACCACTCTGTTCCACCTCCAAATACCAGCTCAATGCTGGCCCTGCAGGCCCAGTGTGCCTGGAACCCCATGCCCCCCTTGTAGCTGTGCAAGGGGAGGTCGCCCCGGGAGCTGCCTCCTTCTCTACCAGGGACCCCAGGTCAATGACGTGCTGGAACCCCTGAGCTGACAGACACGGGTGGGAAGAGAGGAGTTCTTGCGGGTACCTTCCCGTTGGGTGGAGACATTAAGTCCCGAATCCACGAGTGAGGACTGCCCGATTTGTATATCGAGTTTCCACAATGGGCTGAGGCCAGCAGCTGTCAAAGGGCCCCAGGTCAGGGTTCAGAGTTTTCACACTTGCTAAAGGAACTGGAGTACACATGTCTCTTGAGCGGCCCCCGGGCTTTCCCAGGAGGACAGGACAAACAAGACAACACGGCGTCTGACTTACGCTCCGGGGCCTTGCCACGTCCATGTGATGGTGTCCTGGGGGCAAGAAGGAGAGAATGAGCCACAACTGGACATCTGGTGCCACAAGTCCCTACATGTGCCGAAAGGCTCTTCCCTCCACAGCCGTGCCTGCCTGTCCTGGCCCCGCTCCAGGCTCTTGCCCTCACCCCCATCCCAGCCCACCTCTGACCCCGGACGCTAGCCTCCCCTTCCTCTCAAGTTCCCTCTAGGGCAGGGAGAAGGTGGGTGCTCCCTGGGGACCCAGATTCCCCAGGAAGGCTCATCCATCTTCCCACAGCTCCACGGTTACCAACTCCAGTGTCTGCCTAAGACCTCGTCCCTGTTCCATTTTTCTGCCCTCCCCCCTCCAGGTGCCCCTGGCAACTTCAGTCCCCCATGTGGGCACCTGCTCTATCTGTTGGCTCCCTCAGATGTGCTCAAGCAGGGCCTGTAAGACCTGCCCTGCTCGTCACCGTCACCTAGCCACATGGTGCTGTTGGCAGCCTCATTCCAACTCCACACCCGCCTGTACCCCTAAAGGTCCTCGGCTTGACTCTTGGTCAGAGACACATTCCAGCAGGTCAGCCGCAGGCTCGGGAGGGGCAGAACAAACCACTGTCGGGGCTGCCTCTCCGCCCACTGTGTGCCCAGGGCCCCACCTATGGGGGGATCTCAGACGCGCTCCAGCCTCAGCATCAGCAGCTGCATGAGCCACCTAGGTGGGGACACAAGCCCTGATTCTACCCTGACCCTGGTCACTCACATGGGCTTCTCTCCTCTGCAGTCCTGACACCCACCTGCACCCCGCTCAGGGGCTCCTAAAAACCCACCTGCCACACGGCCTCCCTCAGCCCCCCCCCCCCCCCCCCCCCCCCCCCCCCCCCCCCCAGCTCCCTCCCCTGCGTGGCTCTGTTCTCCCTGCAGCTGATGAAACACGAGCACAAGGCAGACGTTCTGCTTCTCTGACAACTAAGCTGGATCTAAGAACCCAGTAGGGGCACCCTGCTTAAGATAAGCTGACGGAATCAACTTAAAAACTGGAAAATCTAGAGCTCTACACACCGATGACAGATTCTCTTATTCTTAGAAACTGGCTAACGAACACCACTCCTCAGAGTTTCAGTTACGTACCGTAAGAGCAATGTTATCTGTGAGTTTGCGTGGCTACTGGTTCTGACTGACACTTATTTACTGGCCACTCAGAGAGCCTCTGCTGGGCCTGTCCACACCTGCAGGCACAGAGTCCAGTGTGCAAACCTTGGAGCCTGCAGGCCTGGCCTGGCAGCCCTCATGCTCACAGATGTCACACGTAATTCTGCCATCTGGACCAGCGACTCCAGACCCCACCGTGTCATGACCTGCCAGTGTCTTGTTTTGTGTCATAAAGACGCTGCAACAGGGAGAAAGCTCAGTGTCATGAATGAATCTGCCTCCTGTGTCCTCCATCGAGAAATAGTCCAGTGCGCCCAGCACCCAGGCAGGGCCAGGGGACACAGGTCCCTGTGGACCTCTCTCAGCTGCAAGAGTCCTTCATCTACCACCATGCAAGGACGCCCACCAGGACGGGGTTCCAGCAGAAGTGAGGTGCGGCAGGCACACGGGAGCCTGGCACCCGCCCTGAGCAGGTGGGCTGACTGTGTCTGAGGGGGCAGGGCATCCTCAGGGCGCGTGGGAGGAAGGCCAGCCATGGTTGCCTCACAGACTCGGAGGCCGAGGCCACGGCGGGACCTGGCAGAACCTGCTGACGCCTTGTCCAGCCCCTCTGAGCCAGGGGTCTGTCAACATCACCCAGGACCTCTTTTATTTTGCTCTTTTAGAACAAACAAAACCTCTGCACCTGAAGTGGGCACGAGAAAGGCGCATCAACCGTAAAGTCACTTAATTCCTTTCTCTCCTGCTGCCTCCAGGCTTCCAGAACTCAAATATTCCTAATTTAAAAATTTCCTGGAGTCTGAACGGGGTCGTGAGAGCTGCTGAGGATGTGGGCGGGAGGGGTCTCACACCAAAATGTGGATGGATCCCACGTGAGGAAGGGCTGCAAGTTCACGACCTACGACAGAGGGGCTTTGTGGGTGAATTCTAAGGAATATTTTGGAATACTGGCGTCGATTAGAAACAGTACATTAAAACACCCCACACTCCTCATTCCCAGGTAATTCACCTTAACATGAGCCCCCAGGAAAACACACTCACCAGCTTGTTTGGGTACCGTAAAACCACCGGCTGGACAGGGACTCCCGGAATAAAGGCTCCTGCAGAGAAAAGGACGCAACTCATTTCCGAGGCAGCAGGTTCTCAGCCTGCGCACCTCATGCCAGCCTCAGAATAAAACGGGCTTTTCTGCCAGGCCCTCCTGGCTAATGGTCATTCAGTGCCTGGAGGGTTTCCCAACCTCTGTGCTGCCCTTGAACATGCACAGAAAATGCCAGGTCGTGGCCCTGCCCAGCAGGGGACAGACAGGAGCGTCTGCAGGCCGAGGGCACAGGTGGGAGTGCAGGTCTCTCCTGATTTCTCGAGAAGAAAAAGAAATAACTAAGAAAACTACCTACCAGGCTTGAAGGTAATCAGGCAAGTCCTGTTGGTGCACGTGCCCTCGGGGAAAATCATTATCTTGAAATGGAAAAATGAAAAGGCTGGCATTAAAGGGACATGGCAGCTGTCAGTCTATCCTCTCTGCTCTGAGGTCACGTGGACCCTTGAACCATACTCAGCGGAAGGGTTAAGACGCACCATGGAAGGTTTGCTGACTCCCTCTCTAACAGTGGGTTCCCTAAAAGCTGGAAGCAACACAAGGATGCAATCAGCATGCCTCCTAGACAGCGGGTTTGTAAACGGGCAATTGCTGGTGCCCACCCTCTGCCGTGAGGACCAGGCACAGCGCACAGGACGCACTGTGCACGGGGCAGGACACGGCACAGACGGAGGGCCCCAGGCTGGGCGGCTTGGTGAGGGCTGCCAGAGAAATGCCTTCCCCACTGGGACCGCAGTGACTCTGAGTTCACTGACTTCCAGCCAGAAAGTGTGACCTGAACCTCCCCCATTGTTGGAAACACAGCCCGTGTGGTTGCTTTCAACTCCACCAGCGCTGCACCAGTGTGGGTCCAACCCTGGCACCTAAGGACCAGGCAGGTTAGCTGAACAGAGAGGGGGGTGCCCCTGGCTGTGGGGGTGGCAACCAGGGCACCCTGAGGGCATGGGTGCTGTGGGCCAGACATTCTAGTGTTTCCTGAGCTGCCAGAACCCAGGGAGTCCTGTGGGATGTCCAGCTTCTCAGTGTCAGCTCAGTTGAAAAGAAAAACATGCAGCGTGGGTCAAACACATCCACGGCCAACATGGGCGAGGCCCCCACCTCACAGCCTGGGCCAGGCCTTCCTCACATCCCAGGAACCACAAACGTGCAAGCATGCCCAGTCCAGGGTTTTTAGAAGCAAGGAGACACCCCATAGACTAACGCACTATTCAGACACGAGACTGTGCTGACCCCTGAGGGCAGGTCAGCAGCTCTTTCTGACCTAGAACTTCCAAAAAATTCATTTTCAATAAAGATGACTCGAGATGCATATAAGAATTGTTTTGCCTTCTTTCTTTCTTTTTTTTTTTTTGGCTGAGGAAGACTCAGCCTGAGCTAACATCTGTGCCAGTCTTCCTCCACTTTATATGTGGTCGCTGCCACAGCATGGCTGACAAGTGGTCCACGCCTGGAATCCAAACCCAGGAACCCAGGCCACAGAAGTGGAGCACGCCGAACTCAACCACTGAGCCACCGGGCCGGCCTCTCCTTATTTCTTTTCACTTTAAGACTCCAGAACCAAAAGTACCTGATACTCAGCACATTCTTGGACTTGCAAACTCATCAAAGATAAAATGAAACGAAACAATCCAGCCCCAGGGAGGTGAGCTCGGGACGCTCTGTTGCCCCAACTCCATCTCTAAGTTAGCATCTTTTGGAATAAATCCACTCAAAACGCAGGGGGGGACCGAGTTACCTGCGGCCACTTTCCGTTCGACTGGGCGCGCCTCTTGATCTCTTCCACCGTCTTCCTGCGGGAGTCCTTGTCCGACCGCGACACCAACAGTGGCCGGATGTGCTGCATCAGAGCTGAAAGAGAGGGGGCGTTGCTGTGGGCAGGACTGGGGGGCGGGGGCCAACAGGGGCTGCCCCACGGCGCCCGGCTGGTGGTGAGCCCCCTAGAGTCGCCCCGAGAGCTGAGCCATAGGGTGGGTGGTGAGTCAAAGCCTGACCACGAGGGAATCAGGAAAATTACTAAAGCTTCTGGGGAACTTAGATGTCAGCGGAAAGCCCCACAACCTTCAAGACCCAAAGTAACCACACCGGGTGTCCATGGATGACAAAGCCGAGAAAGGGAACGGGGGGCTGACCCATCCATGGAGCAGAGCCTTCAGTCACCACTGCTAACAGCTGAGGGGGCAGGGGTCAAAGGACCCAGGTCAGAAGGGCCTGGGGCACATGGCTCGGACCCCACCAGCCCCTGCTGTGGATTGAACTGTGTCCCTCAAAGGCAGGTTGACGTCCCGACCCTGGGCCCTGTGGCTGTGACCTCATTCGGGAACAGGGTGTTTGCAGACATAATCAAGTTAAGACGAGTTGGTGCTGCTTTGGGCTGGGCCCTAACCAATGACAGGTGTTCTTGCAAGACAAGGGGGAGCAAATGCAGGTGGAGAGGATGCCAGTGGTGATGGAGGGAGAGAATGGGTGCTGTGGCCTCAGCCAAGGGGTGCCAAGGACTGTGGGGGCCACCAGAGGCTAGAGAGAGGATGGAGTGGATTCTCCCTCAGAACTGGCCCTGCCGACACCTTGATGCTGGACTTCTGGCCCCGGAACAGTGAGAGAGCACACTTCTGTTGTTTCAAGCCCCCAATTTGTGGTACTTTGCCATGGTGGCCCCAGGACACTCATAAGTGCCGACTCTAACCACTGGGCAGCACGGCCTCCTGTTAGGCATGGACGCTCAGGGCTCCCTCGACCAGACGGTGGTGCTCTCGCAGGACGATTTAAAGGTGGAAGAGAAGGGAGAACTCCTTAGAAGGGAGAAGTGAGAATCCACTTCAGAATAGACTGCCCTCAGCAGGAACTTCCTTTCTTGGAAACGGTGGCCGGAGCCCTGACAGCCCATCACCCCGAGAGTCGGGCAAGTCTGCGGCACCACCTGCTCTGCCCCAAGGTCAGTCCCCGCGGGACCCGAGATGAGCTTCGAGCTTCTTTTCTGAGCATTTTTACTGCTTGTGAGGAATAATATTTCATGAGTTCTTGGAGGGGTTCCGAAGAGCAAAGAGCAAATTTATTTTAAAAAACTTCTATCCACTTGGGTCCCTGGGACTCGAAGGTCTAAGATGCACGTGGATCTCAGCGAGATTTCTTCCTTTGCCTTGAAACGTTTTGCTTTTCCACCATTCTGGGACCCGTTCCAGCCTTCCTCTCCGGTGCTTCCTGACTCTGCTCAAAAGGACAACGGGAAGGAAAGGGAGGAACGAGGGAGCTGCCTAGAAGGACGAGGCGACAGCGACGTCAGCGATCCTGACGGCCTCTCAGCTCCCTTCTGCTCTGCCCGAAGAGATGGGCTGTGAGCTGCATATTTACCTTCAAAACCAGGAAAATAGGGAGCATAGTTTGGGATGTGCTGTTTCTGAATTATAATCAAAATTTGTAATAAAATGGTGTGTCATCATCCCTTTCCGCTCACTTGTCAATTATCCATAAAAGGTCTGAGAAATCTACAGTCTGTATGAAGGACCCCGGCACAGAGGATGTGCTGGTGACCCTCCCTGCTGACCCCGAGACTAGGGTCAGCAGGTGGGGGCCTGGGGCCCAGCTCTGACCTCGGAGCCCCAGCACTTCCAGCTGAGGAGCTTCAGACACCCTGAACTTGGGATGTGGACGGACGGGTGTGACTTGAGCTGTGATGGAAGCCGAGGTTTCCAGAGGGTTCTGTGTAATTTGTCCGTGAAGCACAGTGAGATGCCACCCTCCCCAAGCCCAGAACTTCCCCAGAATGCGACACGCCACAGCCTGAAGCTTAAAACTTCAGAACACCACAGAAAACAGAACACCAGAACAAGCATCATGTCTGCAAAAACCCAAAGGGCTCCCCGGGCCCTCACCAGGGACCAGGCTCCTTCACAGTAGGGGTCTGTGGAGACCTCCAGAGGCATGAAAGTGAGCCACAAACTTGCCAATGTCACGGTCTCTGCCTGGCTTTCAGAAACTCTTGGAGTTTAACCCGACTATTCAGGTACATGGTGTATAAGCCCTTTCTTTGGAAATCCAGGCTCAGCTGCTGGGCCGCCATGGCCACGGCCGTCCTGAGCTTCTGCGAACCTTTGCAGGAAGCTGGGTGAGCGGGCTGCCCCTGCCTGCCCCACGGGCCTGCCTTCTCTCCACTTTTGTTTTCTAACCAACGTCACTGAAACCACCTCGGATGAGGCCATTATGTCTGTGAAGGATGTGACACCACTCCCAGGGACCAGACCTCCACCGTTCTCTCCTCCACCACGTGAGGACACGGCAAGAGGGCGGAGGGGGGTTCTTGCCAGAACCCGACCACACCGGCACTCTGAGCTCAGACTCAGCCTCCAAACTGCGAGCAATAACGTCTGTTGTGTAGAAGCTGCTGGTCTGCGTTACTTTGTGACAGACGCCACGTGGTCCACATGCAACCAAGGAAACATTGGTCAGCATCCACGTCGCCAACAGCGCACAATCCTTACACCCTCTCTCATAACATTCCTCTTATCAGAAGGACAGAATAAAACATACACAACGTTCTCTGTATGCGAACACTGTCAGGTGCCAGGTGGAAACTCAGAGAAGGTGGATGGAGTGGGGACCCTCCACCCCGTAGCTCTTGCCCCAGCCCCGCCCACCTCCTGCCTGGACCGGCCCTGCTCCAGAATCCGCCGCAGATGTGCTCAGCATGAAGCACGGGTGATCCGAGATGGTTCAGCTGGAAAGGTGGAGAGGCTGGTGGGTGAGGAGGTGAGCAGCAGACACGGGGCCAGGGCGGAGCTGCCGGAGTAGGAGCGGGGCCAGGTGGTGATCGCTAGAGACAGAACCATGGGGCTGAGAACCACTGAGAACCAGCCCGGGAGGGCGCCTGGACTGTGCTCGGCTGGGCTGGCCAGGCTGGGTGTGGGAAGGCGTTTTCATCCTTAAAGCGAGGGGATGGGGCAGACTGCCCAGGATTCCTTACAGGATTATCTGACAGCAACGGTGCAGCGCCCTCAGTGGTGACCCCAAAAAGATGTGCCCATGTCCTAACCCTGGAACCCGTGAAGGCAACATTTAGAGAAAAGGGTCTTTGCAGACGAAGTTAGTTAAAATCTTGAGATGGGATCACCCTGGTTATAACAAGGGTCCTTAGAGACACACAGAGGAGAAGAAGAGACACACAGGGAGGAGGCTGTGTGACGACCGAGGCAGAGGCTGCAGTGATGTGGCCACGAGCCCAGGGACGCGGGAGCCACCAGAAGCTGGAAAGATCAGGAACAATCCTGCGCTAGAACCTTGGAGGGTGAAGCCCTGCCACACCTGATGTCAACACCTGGCTCGGGAACAGCGAGAGTGCAAATTTCTGCCGTTGTAAGATACCAGTCTTGCAATCCGTCCTAGGGAGTCAGACATTCATAAACCTGGGTGTGGGGAACAGCAACGAACGCCCCGGGACAGAGTGACTGAGTGCCCCAGACCACCAGCATCCTGTGTGATGCTGGACAGAACTTGAAGAAGCACTTGAGCCAGTGATGATATTTGAGGGCACTGTGTGCTAACAAAACATGGAGGTCAGCACAGTTAACATCACGGAGGAAATTACAACAGGGAAAGTCAGGGACGCAGGGCCAGGTGCCTAGTGCACGTGGGCGAGACCTGCACTGGCCAGCTGGGGGCTCACCCACTCCTAGTAGGACAGGGGGCTCACTCCATCCCTGCGGTGGGGGATCACTCAGCCCCATGGGGTTGGGGACTCACTCACTCCCAGCAGTGGGGGCTCACTCAGTCCCATGGAATTGGGGGGTCTCACTCCCAGCAGGGGGGGGTCTCATTCAGTCCCATGGGATTGGGGGGCTCACTCAAAGCAGGGAGGGCTCACTCAGTCCCATGGAATTGGGGGGCTCACTCACTCCCAGCAGTGGGGCTCACTCAGTCCAGGGGTTTGGGGTGGACACTTACTTCCCCATATTGGGATGTCTCTGCTCTCTGCCTTCATCACGATGGAGGACATCGTCATGGTGATGGGGATGGCATCGAAATAGGACGAGTGCGGTGCCAGGGTGAGGATGGCTGCCTCGGTGGGCAGGGCCTGCCGCCCCTTCACAATCACCCGGTGGAAGCCGCCAGCAAACCACATGGTGCGCAAGATGGCCCTGAGCAGGAAGTCCACGACCCTGCAAAAGAGGACGCTGGGGTCAAATGGAGCTGAGCTGGCGGTCACAGCCTGCACTCTCCACGCCTCACGAGGGCACTGCCAGTGCATGGACACCGCCACTGGGATCCCAGCCCAAGCTCTGTGACCTCCGTGCAGCCCAAGCCGACACCTGCAACGGGTGACAGAGACGTGCGACGGGGAAAGGAAAAGGACGCCGTGCTCTCTTCCTTCCCTTGCAACGTGCAGTGGGTGCCTGTCCATTTGTCTCCTCGAGAAAACCGAGGGGCCGGCTCTGCCACATTACACAGCAGTATGAAGATAGCACGGGACCCCAAATATAATAGAAGAAGGCTCACGTGCAAAATTAAAGACGCCGGTACCTTCATGCTAGGAAATGATTTATTAGCATTCTAAGTACATACGTTTAAAATAAATAAAAAGTCAAACACCAACAATCCATACTGAAATCCAGAGTGAAATCCAGACCTGAGCTCAGCAGCAGAGACAGCTGTGCAAAAGGCCCCCCCCCCTCCCGTCTCACCTCCCCCAGGTGCCTGAGGTTTCCCAAGTCAGACGTCACGTTACGAAAATGAGCCTCTTCTGGATGAAATTAGATGGGCAGTAAATCGGAAAAATAAAGTAAGTCAGCCAAGATTAACTGAACTTGTTTCCTATTTATTCTTTTAAAATATGAGGGAATTTAAGCATTTAAACCTACACATGCCCTTTCATGGGAATCTCTGACAGCTCCACACTGCATCACGATTTAACACGTCCCTGAAGCCACACGGGGTGCATGGCCGCACGTGCCGGCCCCCGGGGGAGAAGGAGGCACCTGTACAAAGAGCCACGTCCCTCTCACTCGGCTGCTGGGTTTCGTGGGTAATCACTGGGTAAAATCACCACCTAGAAACACAGGAGCCTCAAACCTAACCAGCTTGACTTCCCAAGGGATTTAAAAACCCTCTCAAGAGAATTCCAGAAGCTGAGTCCCGACAGATCTGAGCAGCAGCCAGCGGCTGGAGGAGCAGGGAGGCCCTGAAGGAGCACCTTGCAAAGACCGCTGTCTGGACGGCAGAGAGGGACTGCCAGGTCCACACTGAGATGCCGGGGACCAAACTCTGATGCTCCATTTCTGGAGCTGGGTGTCGTTACACAGCTACACGCTTTTTAATTATCTGTTCAACTGCACATTTTTACATGTGCTTTTCTGCAGGCATGTTATTTTTCACAATAAAAACATGTACAAAAATAAAAGCCAACAGATGCCCACTAATGCATAAGGAAGAAGAAAGGAGGCTGTGGAGAAGAAGAAAGGAGGCTGCGAGGGAGGTGGCACGGGGAAGAGGAGCTGGCCCCGGGAAGGCAGGTCCAGAGGCAGGAGGAAGAGGAGAGATGGTAAAAAATGAGGATATAATCTTGACCTTTCTATTAGAGACACAACCCACCCCTCAGGTCAAAAGTCCAAACAGTACTCAACAGATCTGTACCAGGAGGGAACAAACTAACCCTGACAATTCCCTAAAGACCTTGGAGAGAGGCCATCCTAAGTCAAACGACCCACTGGGAAGGCTGCATGGGCGCACGGTCAGAGCAAAGCCCTGCTCACTGTGCAAAGTTGGGGCCCAACACCATTCACCCCAAGGCAAAGGCAGCTGGCGGCCAGCCTGAGGCCCCGGAGCTTTCCTAGAGAAAGTGAGTTGAAGACAGATCCACGTCCATGAGAACCATCCTCCACTCGTCACTGGGGACGACACCTGAGGATCTGAGATGTGTGAGCAGAACCAGCCCTGGGAGAAAGCAGACTGCGGGGTGAGGAGACCCACAGTGCATGCACCGGGGGGCTGGACATCCCCCGCTTCAGTGCGGTCAGAGTCGGGAAGAGCAGCTGCTCTGAAAAGGTACAGAGAGTAAGAAAAAGAAAATGCTCTTGGAAATCGAATCTTGCACTGCAGAAATGACCAGGCCCCTGGACAGGCTAGGAGGGAGGGGCAGGAAATCTCCCAGAACACACAGAAGAAAGGACAGAACCATGCGCTCTTCGAAGAAGGCAGTGTCCTGGGATAGACACAGATCTTCAGCACCATGTCAAGCTGCTGAGCAGAATGAATTTAAAAAAAGGTCTCATCCTGAGAAATTTCTTTGGAGAATTTTCCAGATTACCAGGGACAAAGAGAAGACCCTCAGCCCTCCCAGAGAGGAACGAACAATTACTCCAGCATCAAAGTCGCGGCTGTCGGCAGGCAACGCACTCGCACTTGCAGAGCTCAGACGACGTGGGCTGTGGAACCTCTGGGCCTGGAGGCTGCTGCACAGTCAAGCTATCCATCAACTGTGTGGGGAGAGCAAAGACATTTCAGACACAAAGTGAGCCCATGTTCCTCTTGCACATCCTCTTGCCGAGAAAAGAACCCGAAATTCCAGGAAGTCTTGGGCAAAAAACAAGGGGAAAAAACCACAACAAAACGGGCCCAGGAAATTGCAGACCATGCCCCAGTGCAGCGGGAAGGCACTGAACCTGGCAGACAGCGCGGCTGCAGGATGTGGAGTAGGGGCTCCAGGACCCTCTGGGAGCAGAATGCAACCCCATCCAGTGGCTGCGTGACCAAGAGGGTGGAGCGTCTTGAGGTGACACTCAGGGTCACCCTTCTTTTTGTAACAGCAACATGAGAGGTATTTAGAAATTGTGTAAAGAAGGAAAAAACATTAGGAAGTGCAGTTGAAACATGAGGCACGCTGGGGGCACAGAACATGGGAAATCGTGGGGTGAGGACGTCCGTGCCCATGACGAGCGTGCTCCACCAGGAGGCCCTGCGGTGTGCAGGTGCACCGGGTGGCAGTTGGGGTCTGTGCATGATGGACAGCTCGTTCCTTAGGACCACGGAGCCCACAGCGGGAAGCCACAGGCAGACGGGGACCGCGGACCCTGCAGCAGAGCGGGAGGGCGGGCCGGGCCTGCAGACGAGCTTTCCAGCAGCCGCTCTCCTTCATGGCTTTGTTTTCATGCCACACGCGTATTACTGGGATAAAACCAAGAAAATGGACGCGAGGAAAATCCACCCATTCGTCCGCCGCTTCCCGAGTACCCGCTTTGCCAGGCACGGGTTTAGAAAGCACTGGGGACACATCAGCGAACACTGCCAGGATCCCCGCCTGCTGGAGTTCAGTCTCTAGCAGGGGAAATAAGGATTTTTAAAAAATTAGTGAATTATGGAGTAAATCAGAAAGGGATATCATCCATGAAAAATAAAAATAAAAGGAGGGCAAAGTGAGGAAGGTCAGGAGCAGCAGAGGAGGAAGCGATGAGTGAAGGCAAGATGGGAAGAAGAGTCAACCCCGTGTACATCTGGGTGATGCATACTCTGGGGAGGACAGCCTGTGCAAAGGCCCTGAGGCAAGAGGGTGCTTGAGTGTTGGGGAGGTGGTGAGGAGGCTGGGTGGCTGGAGAGGAGGGAGGAGGAGGATGGGGGAGGGACGGCAGATGATGAGGACCTTGTAGGGGTTGAAAGGACGAGACATTTACTCCGGGGGACGCAGACATGGGAGCTCCTGCAGGGCTGAGAGCAGAGAGCTGTGCTCTGACTTCCATTTGTAGGGGACCCTGTGGCTGCCGTGTTGAGATGCAGAAGCAGGAGAGCAGGTGACAGGCTATCCCCAGGACCAGGGGAGCGTTGATGGCGAGGGCCCCAGGGAAGGGGGACCAGGTGGAGGGGTCAAGTGTGTCCTGAAGGTGGAGCCAGCACATTTCCTGCTGGTATGGATGGGAGGTGTGAGCAAGTGGAAGGGTGGCGCTGACTCCCAGGGCCTGGCCCAGGCCACAAAGGATGATGGTCGCCATCCACAGACGAGGGGGCTGCGGCTAGAACGGGTGGGGAGATGGGAGCCCAGAGGTCCTGTTTGGGTGTGTGGAGCTGGACACCACTTACTGACGGCAAGCTCTGGGGCTCGGGCTGGAGGACAGGTCTGGGAGCCGCAGGCTTGTGGACAGTCGTCAACGCCCCAGAATGAGATGAGCTCATGGAAGGGCTCAAGGACCATGGAGGGAGTCGGGGTCGGGGCAAGAAGGGGCCGAGAAGGGCACACAGGGGAAGAGGCCACCAGGAGGGGGTACGGCACGTCCAGTTGAGGGGACATCCTGACCCAACCCTGGAACGGACCGCCGAGGCCTTGGCACCCTGAACACCCAGGCCCGTGAGGCAGGGGCGAGAGCTGGATCTGCCCGGGTCTTTGGGAGAGTGCAGAGAGCACGGATCTGCAGTTTCTGATGGTTCTGCCGTGCGAGGGAGCCCAGAGGTGGGTGGGAGCTGGAAATGGCAGAGGTGACAGACAGCCTGTGCACTCTTGGGACCCTCCGGGGCTGAGCATCGACCCCTGATGGTGCAGACGAGGGTCCTGGGGATGCAGCCGTGAGGAGCGGCGTGCTCACAGCTGGGACAGGCTGGCTGGGAGCAGGGGCCATCCCCGGGCAGCAGGTGGAGGCAACGCCAGGCTGCAGACGCCGAGGGGCGTGGAGGCTGCCCGGCTGATCCGGGCTGGGGTGTGGGTGGGAGTGCGGCTTCCAGGACAGAGGAGAAAAGCTAAAGCCAAGTTTGACTTCAGGCTCCGACCCCAAGTGTACACACGGCACCCAGAGTCATCACAGAGATGGGAACGAAGTCCCCACACGGAGCCCTCAGGAAAGGGTCCGTCTGCGGCGGCCGCATCCTGTCCCCCCAGATTGCCGTGTTGAAGCCCCAACCCCCAAAGTGACTGTGTTTGGAGATAAGGGGAAATGAGGTCACAGGGGTGGGGCTCTGAGCCCACAGGACTCGCGCTCTTGGAAGAAGAGGGGAGACCTGAGCTCACCGCCCACGAGCACACAGAAGGCGCCGCCTGCGGCCGTGCGGGCACCTGCGCTCGGACATCCAGCCTCCAGGATCATGAGAACTGAGTGTCTGCGGCTGAGCCCCATCTGTGTACTTAGTGAAGGCGCCCGAGTGGCCCAACACACCCGCTTTCCAAACCACGCGAGTTGGCCGAGGAGCAGCAGCCAGAGGACCAACCGTCACCGTTTGCCCGCCTGGCCCGGCTCTGGCCTCAGCCCCTGCTCGGGTCTGTAAGATGCTCTGGTTCTTATGACACCGTTTTGAAAGTAACTGAGAATAAGTGTCTTTTGTGAAGTTGTCATTCCTCTTCATTGAAAACCCAGGGTTTTTATTTTAGGAAGGTTTGAATGACACTAACATATGTACATCAAAAGTCCTCTTTAACGTCAACCTACTCAAAACCCTGGCTGTGCAGAGCCTGGAACAGTCGCTCCCAGCTGACTCCACGCCGACCCTGAGCAGAAAGTGTGGCACACGCTGAGTCCCGCCTCCTCCATCTCCCGCGTCCCCAGATCAGGCGCTCCTGTCACTGTGCATCCTTCGGGGTGTCCAGGTCCCCACCCTTCGTTTCCCCTCAAGCACCAGACCCAGCCCAGGGCTGTGCACTGAGCCAGCTCTCCATCAACACTGCTGTGTGGAGACCCCGGGGGCTGTGTGCAGCTCGAGCACACATGGTACATGCATGCACATGTACACACACGTGCTTCACACATACACAGTGCTCATACACGCACTCACACACATACACACATACTTGCATATACGAATACACACTTGTCTTTATACATTTACACACACATCACACATACATACACACCTATATGCTTGCACATGTATGTACACACACATACATTCATACATACACATGCACATGAACACACACACCACACACACACATCATGTGTAGCACACATATACACACTCTCACGCATGCCACACTCACACATGTACACACACACTCTCTCACATGTGCGCATACACACAGAACGACACGCAGTCATCCTCCGTGGACCCAGACACCTGAGCGCTTGGGACTCGTAAGAACCCTGCCCTTCCCTGTGCAGACGCTTTGCACGCATGTCACATGCATCTGAGGCACGTGTGAAGCGGGCTGCAGGAACTGCAGTTTGCTGCGGTCCATTTGTTACCCAATGAGGCCGAGTAAGATATTCAGGGACAGGAAAAGCCAGGTGGAGTTGGCCCGGAGAAGGGGAACTGGCCTGGGGTGGTCGATTCTGAAGACAGAATCTGCAGCTGTGTGAGGACTCCCACGTCGGGGGAGAGAACGGAGGAGGGTGGGAGTCCAGGCCAAGGTCAGAGCGGAAGTAGGGACTGAGATGACACCTGCCAGGAAGGGTCACAAACCCGCCAGCGCTAAAGCCCCAAACTCTGATCAAATCCCTCGCAATCTATCAGACACCAACCCTCCGCTTTCTCACTGCGGCTTCTGAACCCAGCAAAACTGAAATCCTGACTCCTGTTTGGTCTAGATGCATTTTGTTTGATTACATATTTGATACTAACTCATATTTCACAGTTAAAGATAAAAAACCGTCACAGTAAAGAGCGCTTTTCAAGGATAAACTAGAAAATCCAACAGGGGGAAATGAAAGACCCAAAGCCAGTGGTGCCCAGGGCCCAGGTGACCACAGGCCACCCCTGTCTGGCAGCACCAACTGAGTCCTCCACTCATCCACTCACCCACTCACTCACCCACTCATTCACTCATTCACCCACTCATTCACTCATTCACTCCTTCCCTCCCTCACTCATTCACCCACCCACTCACTCATTAATTCATTCACTCTCACCATTTATTCACTGATTCTCTTACACATCCACTTGCCCTTTTACTCACTCACTCATCCCCTGACTCACCCATCCCCTCACTCACCCAGCCCCTCACTCAGGAGTGCTTCCCAGCACACCCTGGCCAGGTGCTGTGGTGGGGACAGACGGGCCTGCCCTCGTGTCTACTGGGGAAGAGGAGACCAAGGTTCATTTGAAACAGAGAATGTGAACTACCGTGAGGAGGGGAGCATGAAGACCCGTGAGAGGGCGCCTGGCCATGCCACGCTCAGGAAACCCCTGGACCTCACTGGCCATCCTCCCCCCGCACGGATGCTGTGTCTGACCATGGCACGTGGGCATCGGGGAGAACATGTGTTCAGGACACATGCCCGTCCCCATATGCCTCTCACAGGCATCACAGATGTGCCTGTAGCTCAGACGCTTTCCAAAGGAAAGAGGAGGACTGAGCCCATCCCTCGAACCCGTAAAGGACCAGGTGGCAAATATTTCAGGCTTTGTGGGCCGTGTGGCCTCTGCCACCATCCACCCTCCGTGAAAGCAGCCCTGAGGCATCCAAATAAGCAGGCATGCCCGGGTTCCAATAAAGCTTTATTTATAAAACAGGTGGCAGCTGGATTTGGCCTGTGGGCCCTTTCGCCAACAACCACACTAAACTAATACTGTTTCTATTCTGACTAAACCATTCAAGGACCCCTCATGATCGAGAGAGACGTTGAGACAGAGGTTGTCAGCACTTTGGTTTTATGATAAGAATGATAACTCCTAAGACGCTGAAGTACATATCAAATCCTTCGGACATCTCCACATCACCGTTAACTAACGTATACACTGAGCTAAAGAATAGCTTTAGGGATTTAAATAAATAAGAAATGCTGTGATTCAATTTAACTCCTGGAGGTTCATGCTGGATCTGCAGTTAAAATGTATTCGTAACACGTCTACTTACAGATCGCTGTGGTTTATTAATATTCAAGGTGTAAAAGCAAGAGGACATTCGACCCTACGGAGGCCAGACCAGGGGCAGCAAGTGGGACAGACGTTGACATGCAGCCTCGGAGGGCTGGAGACACAAAATGTGGGGGATCTCAGTGCTCAGGACATGGGCTCACGGGGGATCCACGTGCTCAGGAGATGGAATCACAGGGGATCTGTGTGCTCGGGACACGGAAACACGGGGGGATCTGTGTGCTCAGCACAGGGAATCATGGGGGATCCACGTGCTCAGGGCATGGAATCACGGGGATGCACGTGCTCGGAGCACATGGGATCACAGGGGATCCGAGTGCTCGGGACAAGGAATCATGCGGGATCCGTGTGCTGGGTACACAGAATCATGGGGAATCTCTGTGCTCGGGACAGGGAATCAGCCACTGTGTGGCTGGCAGAACTCTAGAAAGAGCGTCAGAGCAGGACTGTGTCTGGGGAGGAACCAGCCGTCGTCAAAGGAGGACAGAGCAGGAGGCAGCAGTGTCCCAGCGGAGGGCAGCCCTGGGCGCCCTGGGCAGGAAGGGGAAGGTAGCCTGCCACACTGGGTGGACACGAGAAACCATGAGAACGAAGGCAGCTCAGGATGCTTGTGAGCCCCCACGTCAGAGAGCCCGCGGACCAGCCACTTACCTCCTCCACAAGGCGGGGGGCTGCGTGGGTTCCTGCTCTGCAGATCCCAGTGACGCCACGAGCACAATGGGCCAGGCAAGGAGCATCATGAAGGTGGCAACCAGCAGCCGGAGGGGGAAGAGCGTCAGCGTCATGAGGGTGACCTGGGGAGACAGGGGCGGTCACTCCAGAAGCACTGCCACGAGTCTCGGCTCCTCGGGCCTGGAGTGGGAAGCTGCCCAGCAGACGGCACTGGACCTGCCGCAGCCTGGCGCTGTCCTCCCATGGACAGTTGGGTGGGACAAGCAGCCAGGACGCCATCCCCAGGGTCACTGGTCACTAGACCCTCTTCCCACTCTGTCCTTAAGTCACCCCTGAGGGCGGCCTAGGAACGGGGTGGGGGACTCCCTCCTGGAGTCAACAGTGCTCTGCCCCAAGCCCCAGCGTCCCCACCAGGCAGTCCTGCTCTTCCTAGCTCCCCCAAGTCCTTACGCAATGAGAGGATGCTTTCGGGGGCTAAGCTGCCATCTGTGAAGCAGTGAGGAGCAGGCACGGTGCTCACGAGCCTGGACCTTGGACCACAAGGAAGACTGGGAAGTCAGGTGACTTTCAGCCCAAGGAAGCCACAGGGTGGGAGCCCAGCAGAGAACAAGGTGGGGGTGGGGGCGCTGCAGCTCAGTCTGGCCTTAAAAGGAGCAGCACTGGGTGGGGCATCGAATGCCGCCACAGGTCTGGTGGAGAGGACACTGTGGAAGGTGGGCTGGGGCTCCATGGGGAGGGGCAGGCCCTGCAGGTGAAACAGCACAGCCACTAACACGGGGTGGGGCGAGGATGGACACGTGGGGCTCAGCAGAGCAGCTGAGCGAGGGAGAGGCGCAGGAGGACGGGCAGCTGGAACTAAAATCGAAGCGGTTTTATGCACAAGTCAGACGTACTGGTTCTGCACCTGAGGGCAGACACTCAGCAATGAGTCTTGGGAGGAACCTGACCTCGGTGGTCAATTAGAACACAGGGCTTAGACTTAAGACTTACAAAAAGCTTTACAACCAGTAGATGCAGTTTTTCATTATTTCCAATAATACACATCTCAAACATTCTGGTTTTGGTGCATAGGAACAGAAAAGACAGGAAAAGAGACCCACGTCTGCAGTGCCATCTCCAAGCTTCCCGGCTGACGGAGCCTGGGTGGCCCCACCCCCAACTCTCCTTGTCGGGTGTCTGCTACCTGCGACTGGGTGCCCCTGCCTGTCCCCATGGTCTCTCCGTAGGTTCTCTTGGGGTCTCTATCAACACCAGCACCGCTCGATGGGAACACAATGCAAGCCACATGTGTAATTTTAAATTTTCTAGTGGCCACATTATATCTGAAGCATTATCATTTCAGTATGTATTCAGTACAAAACTATGAATGAGACACTTCACAGTTTTTTCATAAGGTCTTGTAAATCCAATGTGTGTTTTACACGTACAGCACATCTCAATTCAAATTTGCCACATTTTAAGCGCCCAAAAACCATGTGCGGCCTGTTGCTGCCTGTTGGACAGCGTGGATCTAGATAACTGTGTGCTTTGCAAATGACAGCAATTTTAATTGCCTCTCTCTCTCCTCCTCTTTCCGGGACTGGCTATCGCCCTGGCTGGAACCTCCAGTTTCACAAGAGGTTGAACAGAGGCAGCGACAACAGATGCGCTGTCCTGTGGCTGACGTGGTGACGAGGCTTCCTGTGAGACGGCACTTGCTCTCGGCTGTCAGTAAACATCCTTTATTGAGGAGAACATACCTGGCCACCCCCGGGCTCCTACGAGTTTTGATTTGCTTGAAATCATGACTGGATCCTCATTTTAGCCAACGTCTTTCCCGTATGTAGTGAGATAATCATGCGCTGTTCCCAGCCTGTGAATGTGGAGCGTTCATGGCTTTTCTAACGTCACACCCTGGGCCCAGCGCTGGGAGCCTCCTGTCACGCTATTTTTAGGGAATCGCTTGGTCTGTTTGCTAACACGTGTCTGGGACCCAGTCTCGGCCGGTTCTCGGGGGAGCGGGACCCGCAGCTTCCCTCGCGCTGCCTTTCTCTGGACGGATCCTGCAGCCACGTCAGGCGCCAGCCAGTGCCTCTTCAGAGCGATTTCTACGGAGATTGCTCAGTGCTTTCTCAGCGTTTCTAAGACCGTTCACCTCAATTTTCTCTTTTTTCTTGAGTTCATTTCAGTGTTCGTCAGTGAGGAATTCTCTGGGCACCCTCAGCAGATGTTCCTTCCACACCAAATGCCCAGCGTGTGTGTTTCTGTGATAACTGAGTGAGCACCCGTCACATCCTCTCAGAATTGACACCAACCCTGCCCTGATTTATATTTGCAGTGCTAATATTATTTGTGCCTTCTAAAACTTTTTGGCCTATAGTGCCAGATGTTTTTCTCTTTTATTAATCTGTTTCTAGAACCAGTTTTGGATTTGTTCATTGCCTCTGTCATTGCTGTTCAATCATATTAACTTTGGCTCTTAGGGAGTCTCTGTCTTCTACTCCAAGTTCACTCCAACACTCTTTTTAACTTCTTGTGGTGAAAGCCTGGAGCATTATTTTCAGAAAGGCTTTATTTCCCCAATATTCACACTGAGAGCGCGCAGCTTTCTCTAAGCACCACCTTAACCCCACAAGTTTAAAATGTAGCCTTTCCTTTCCTTTTAAAACCCAGTCAGCACATTACGTTCTTGTCCATCCTTTGTGATTATCTTGTGACTTTGTTGCGGAGGGAAGACGGCAGTTGTAGACGAGGCTGCCTCTGGGTCCCAATGTGTCGCCCACCGTGGTGCTCTTCTCGGCCACCCCTCAGGCGGCCCCCACTGTCTGGGGCTCCCGGCTCCGAAGAGACTGCCCTGGGAGCTCCACATTCCTGCTCCTGTTAAAATCTTCCCAATTTGCAGAGAAGTGAAGCCACTGGACACTTGACTGTTTGATCCCCTAAATCGAGCTTAAGGCCTGGTGGCTGTACCGTGGAGGAAAGGAAGAGGCAGCAAAGAGCGTTAACAGGAAAGCTCAGAAAGTCGACCCCACGCAGACGGCGTGGCTTGGAGGGTGTCCCTCTCCAATGTGTGTCTGCACCACACACCTACTCTCAAGCCACATTCCGTTCTCAGGATGGCTTCTGCCACAAACAGTGGAATGACAATAGTCTCTCACGGGGTTCCAGAAAGAGCACACGGTTTCCACACCCCACGAGGTGTATCTGAGACCTGCAGACCAGGACAGGGGCTCGAGGCGCTCCGGGGAGGAACACCCCTTTCCGTCAGACCAACGGGGAGGTGCTGAGGGGAGCTGGATGGGTGGTGGAGCCTGCCCACCGCCAAAGTCAGGGCTCAGAGTCTGCTGTTCAAGTTGCTGGGCTAATTAGCAACATATGCTCCTGTGGGCTGGCCAGCGGCCACGGGATGCACTTGGCCACCTCCCGCGGGACGCCATGTGTGATCGCACTTAAACCTTGGATGATGTATTCACGCCGGCTCTTGTGTGCAGCGTGGCGAACACGGTCCTGGCATCCGTGTTTTGCAGCAAACAGGGAAAGGCTGCAGGTCAGCACACAGACAAGCCTCCACTGAGAGGAGGGTGCGGGTGGAGACACACTGTGGTCTGGGATAGAGCGCCACTGGCCCACGGTGAGCCACTCTGGCTCTGCCTGGAGGACAGGGAGAGAGGTGTCTATGGGGGCATGTGGGGGTGTGCATGCATGTGGGGGGGGGTGTGTGTGTGTGCACGTGTGCCCCTGTGCACATGTGCGCATGTGTGTGCGTGTGTGCATGCAGTGTTGTGTAAGCTGCTTCAAGAGGGCAGGTACCTTTGGGAGCCGCTGGGTGCAAGAGGGATCTGGCTTCCTGGGCTGAAAGCCCACATGTTTTCAGGGCTCCTTGGCCAGGTCCCCACAGCCCTGCCTTCACCTTGGCACACCGCTGCGCCTGTGTGCTCTGTGCCAGGCCCAGACCAGTCCCATAGGAGGCAGAAACCATCCTTGGGGGGGCAGGACTTGGAAGGCCTTCTGCAGCTCCTTCTAGAACCTTCTGTGGGCTCTGATGACTTGTCCTGAGCTCCAGGCTGCCCCCTGGTCAGACCCTGCCATCCTCCTGCACCTTCTGACCCACCTCTCTTCTCCACAGGCCCCATCGCCTATGCGTATCCCAGGCCCGGCCACCCCACTCCTGCACCCTCACTGTAGCCCGGCCAGCGCCTGAGCAGACTCGGTGCTTTTGTGGGAAGCCACAGGGAAGATGACTGGAGCAGCCATGACAGCCACGTGGACACTCCTAACTCTGGTGGGCGCTGAGAAAAGGGAGGTGTCACCACAAAGACGTTCCTAGGAAGTCCCAGCTGGACTAGAAAACCAACAGAACAAAGAGCATCTGGGGAAAGTGAGCGGATGTGCTGTCTCTATGCAGTTCCGGCTGCACACGTGGAATGTGCTGGAACCAGTGGCAGGCTGGACGTGGTAACTCCTTCCCTGGGCAGCCACAGGCACTTCCGTCTGTGCTGCTCTCTTCAGCCAGCCTAGAGGGTGAGCCCGTGGCTCGAGGGGTCCTCGGGCTTTGTCCCCCATCAGGAGCACACAGGAAGGCAGGGAGGTTCCTGGGGAGAGGGTCGGTCTCCACTCCCCTTGCCCCGAATGAGACACTGCCTCAGAGACCCAGCACAGGGAAGCAGCAGGGGAGGCACCCAGAACCCACTCCCACCAAAGGCCCTCTCAGAGCTGCCACGCTCCCTGAAGTGGTGAGGCAGCCGGCAGATGACACCCGTACAGGCAGCAGGCAGGGATGGACGAGACTGGTGGGGTGTGGGTGGGGAGACAGCCCTGGAGATGGGGGCAGGCATGAGGCATCAGGGCTCGGGCAGGCATGGGCTGGAGACCGGGTCAGTGGGAGAGGGACGCCTCGGAGAGAATGTTGTCCGAAGTCCCAGGTGATGAATGGTCTGGGTCCAGGGACAAAGGAGGAGGAAGCAGTAGCATATTGTGGAGAAGGCTATGGACCAGGGACGGAAAAGTCTGGAAATGCTAGGACCTGTGTCCTTCCCGAGAAGCTGCCAACAGCTGCAGCCCGCCCATCCTTGTCAGGAGTCCCAGCCACTCTCGAAAGTGCCAGGTCAAATGAACTCCGGAGTTGCTGCCCTGGGATCTAAAG